CCCTGCAGGGGGGGGGGTGCAGAAAATACACAGGAACTGTCCAGATCAAAAGCACGCATCTGCTCTCAGGTTGAAGAAACTCAAAACCTTCAACTGCGACACATCTGTGTGAGGGTGGAGGCTCAGAACATATAGTGGTGCAGGGTTGATGTTTTTTTGTAGATCGACCCTAACGTTGGTCTATAAAGGAACTACAGCACGGTCACATGACTTCACGTCACCACCGCTAAGCTAAAGGAGGCTAATGCTGGGCTATAAAGGAACTAAAACACGGTCAGATGACTTCACGTCACCACCGCTAAGCTAAAGGTGGCTAATATTGGGCTATAAAAGAACTAAAGCACGGTCACATGACTTCACGTCACCATCTCTAAGCTAAAGGTGGCTAATGTTGGGCTATAAAGGAACTACAGCACGGTCACATGACTTCACGTCACCACCGCTAAGCTAAAGGAGGCTAATGCTTGGCTATAAAGGAACTAAAGCACGGTCACATGACTTCACGTCACCATCTCTAAGCTAAAGGTGGCTAATGTTGGGCTATAAAGGAACTAGAGCACGGTCACATGACTTCACGTCACCATCTCTAAGCTAAAGGTGGCTAATGTTGGGCTCTATAGGAACTACAGCACGGTCACATGACTTCACGTCACCACCGCTAAGCTAAAGGAGGCTAATGCTGGGCTCTAAAGGAACTACAGCACGATCACATGACTTCACGTCACCACCGCTAAGCTAAAGGTGGCTAATGTTGGGCTATAAAGGAACTACAGCACGGTCACATGACTTCACGTCACCACCGCTAAGCTAAAGGAGGCTAATGCTGGGCTATAAAGGAACTAAAGCACGGTCACATGACTTTACATCACCACCGCTAAGCTAAAGGTGGCTAATATTGGGCTATAAAGGAACTAAAGCACGGTCACATGACTTCACGTCACCATCTCTAAGTTAAAGGTGGCTAATGCTGGGCTATAAAGGAACTACAGCACGGTCACATGACTTCACGTCACCACCGCTAAGCTAAAGGTGGCTAATGCTGGGCTATAAAGGAACTACAGCACGGTCACATGACTTCACGTCACCACCGCTAAGCTAAAGGAGGGCTAATGCTGGGCTATAAAGGAACTACAGCACGGTCACATGACTTCACGTCACCACCGCTAAGCTAAAGGCAGCTAATGTTGGGCGTGATGACGTTTAGTCGTCTCATTTAGACACTTCTTAGTAACCTACGTTTTTAAATTCACCAGTGGGGTATTTACTGACGTATTTTATGTAGTAGAACAACACGTTAAAATCTCTTCAGCTAGTGTTAACCACAGACCTTATTTCAACAACCAAAACACGTTTAGAAAACCATTGACCATTATGTGAAAAGGCTTTTTCCTTAACCACTATTTTTGCCAAAGTAGCACAAATAAGCACAGCTATACCAACTATTTGATCAACTTTGAAGAACTTTTGTTCAAAGTCAATGATTCCACATTTGCAGAGTGAACGTCCCTTTGGCAGGTTAGTTGTCAGAAAAGTGATCCCTCTTCCCTTTCATCTTTTCTTATCACAATTCATGTGATGTGACTTCAGGTAAACCTTTTAATCTGGCTGCTTCAACTGAGTCCTGTCAAACAGAGGCCTGCAAAGACTCATAATGGAACAATAGATTAATTTAGCATTTTAAATAAAGACTGATCTGTTTGCATGATTGTTGCACCTGGAGTTCCCGTAACTGGAAACACATTCTTCCTCCCAAGCCTTGTAGCTTTCTGATTATTGTATAATACCTCCCTGCAGGCTGCTCTGTTATTACTCAACAGGCAATTTCAGAAGTCCTAAGCTTCTTGAACCCTGGACCTCCTACAGTCTCAAACCACAGCAATGTGTGTGTTTGTTTGTGTGTGCTTTAACACAGGAAACATCTAATCACACACAAGGGAGGGCTGTTTAGTGTTTTTACTTTGAATCTATCTTTTAATCCTGGCAAGATGTTTCCCTGCTGTTCCCTGTGATCGGTGTCCCGGAAAATATTTGATATCTGAGTCTCATGAGATAAGAGGAAAGTGTGGAATTCGAGGAATTGCGGTGGACAGGGGAGAGAAGAAAGAGAATCAGTGTTAAATGTGCTTTGAAATGCAGCAGCCAAAATACTTAAGCTGGCTCCTTCATTTTGATATATTCAAGTGTGAGGAAAGATTAGAGTGGTGCAGTGATGACGGTTTCTTTGTAGGTTGACCTGGCTTGCTTGTAACCATTCAGAATCCATCGACTACCAGACGAGGGAACAGGAAGGGCCAGAAATGTTGACTCACATTTGGGTTTTAGGACCCTTCAACATGTGTCGATAGAGAAGTCGCAAATGTGTGCATCATCACCACTTCTCGCTTGTTGTGGCGGCTAAACGAGCTAAACTTAGCAGCATTCTGATATTAGCAATCAGTGTTTCCGCCAGACCAGGGCTGAGAGGGCGTCCACCCCGAGAGCGGGGGGGGGGGTAGGGGGGGATTTTTAATTGAGGCGTCCCTTATAGATACTGGCCGTTTCTCAATCTCGAGGATACTGGCTTCCAAGCCAATATTTCAAGGATGCTACGTCATCGAGTGCCGCCGAAGTACTTTTCCAATCTCCAGCATACTTGGAATTCCACCGAGGCCGCGTCCTTGGTTTGGGGGAAATTTCGAGGCTGCACATGGGTAGACTTCGCGTCCTTAAAATCCCCACAATTGATTGATTGATTGATTGAAAAGTTTATTAACAGCTTGTATATTGGGTACAGTACAGTACAGCTCAAAACATACAATTGTTAAAGGGATGCAGACCAGAGAAAGACTTTCGTCTTGTTTACATCAGGGTCCCCCATTTCCAATTCATCATATCATTTAAGACATATAAGACATATTTGACATACAATGCTTTGCGCACGGACCAATTTCAAAAACCCTTGAAGAGAATGACTGAACCGACGCAGCACACATTGAAATGTAAGTATGTAGTGGCGTAGAACATGTGTTGGTAAATATGTTACTTTGTTACATTTGTTATCACCAAAAATGTGTTCCGTGAAAGTAAAGCAAGTTCATAATTAGATAGACATCGTGAGGTATTCATTTTCGGTCCAGTTTATGTTGAAACCGTTAGAGAGAGTGGCACACTTGTTAGCCTGTTCCATTCTTCTTCGTTTTCCGAAGCCGTGGCTTGGAAGCATACTTGCTTCGTTTCTGAAGGAAGTGACTTTGAAGTACGCGACTACCAAGCCAGCATCCTCGAGATTGTGAAACGGCCACTGTCTCTTTACGTTAGTGAGCCAGATCATTTGACTCGGCTCTCTTAAAGCGCTGCCTGTTTTGGCTCCCAAACGGCTCTTCATGTTACCACAGTTTACCACGGAGCCTCAGTTTCGCCGCTGCGAGGCTCCGGCGCTCGCAGTACACGCGCATGCCCCTCATCGCGTCCAAATTGCGCACGTTCCGTGTTGTGCTGTGGCAGGCACCGCCGATGTCGGGGAAACGATCTTCAATACTCCGAAAAGAATCCCACCAGACTCCTTTGCGGTATGTCCTTGTCCTTTTTCCTTTTCGTCATTTCAAGCGATAAAAACTCGATCTTCTCTCAAATTATTATTTTTTGTGGACGACCTCGGCTCGAGTTCAGGGCGTTCCGAGTTGAATAAGGGCGTCAAATTACGGCAAGACGCCCCCCTGGCGGAAACGCTGTTAGCAATCATTGTGTAAATAAGCAACCTACACTTTCTCACAGACTGTACATGACGTTGTGCCAAGCAGCACTTTATTTCTATTTACAGTAAACCTGTCGGCCAGGGTCAAAGAAAAGCATGTACAGATTAAACATCCCGAATAATGACTCTCTCTCCATTCTCAAATCACGTCTCAAAACGTATCTCTTCACAATGGCATATCCACCCTAATCACATCACACGTCCTCGGTTTTTATTGATTATATAACTTTGAGAGCCGTGAAAGCAGTGGCGGTTCTAGACCAATTTGACTGGGGGGGGCCACTGGGGGGCCAGTTATTTTCTGAGGGGGGCAATAAATGCAGGACGAAAAAGAGAACTAGACAGTATGAAGTAATTGCGCATAAGAAAACAATGCAATCCAGTTATTGGTATTTGTTTCAGTTCACTTATTTATTTCAGATAGATCTTATAGTTATTACCGTTAGCTTCAGCTTAAGTTATAGTGCAATGTTTGCACTAACACCATATTTATATAAAAATAAAGGCAATGAACAGTTACATCTCTACTTTACATAAGGGTGTCTGCACAATCTCACATTACAGCAACAAAATCCTGCGGTTTTTGGCAAACTGAGTACCAGAAAATATACATTTAAAAAAAAATTAAAAACAACTTTTCATTGTTAGGGGGGCCACAGGGGGGTCAGAGGTCAGTGTTAGGGGGGCACTGGCCCCCCCTAGAACCGTCCCTGCGTGAAAGGCGCCTTTATAAATTAAATGTATTATTATTATTACATACTGCATTGGTTTTTTGTCGTTAGTTTGCCGTAAGACACATTTCTCCCCTTAGTTGAGGGTATTAAAGTTTCAAGCCATCCCTTTTTTTTGCATAGCTCGCCAATCAGTGTGATCGGAGGTATTTGCTTTACTCAATAGAAAATAAATGGAGGTCCAAACTAGTCACAACATTTGAGCTAGCTAAAAGTAATGAAATATCTGTTAAAATGAAGAGCTAACCAATGGATAAACAGTTTAAAATTGACACTGTTTATCAATTGTTTAGCACTTTAAGTTAACATATCACTATTTTAACATATCCAACATTTTTGGCTTACCATTTAAACGTTAATAGTTAGCTAAAATTATGGATAATGGGCTAACAGACAGCTATAGTAAACAGGTCACACAGTTCTCTAAAATAATGGATAAACAGAAATACCTACTTGCTGTATAGAGTAATGGATAAACAGTTGAATTGATGTGGGGAAAAGACAGAGTGTTTTCTAACTGTGTCCCTATCTTTTAGTTGGATGATTACACACAATACAGACCGGCCAGTGGTCATTATGTCCCAGAGAGCAATAAAAAACATGGCATTTCCCACAACCTCAATTATCTCACCGAGACAATTGCCACCTTCAAAAGGCTGGAGGTAATTACTGTTATAACTCCGCTGCACAACAGATTCAGGTTAGTGTGCGGCCGTGGTTCTCTCAGCAGTCCTGCCCAGTAACCCGGTGTTTCACAGGATTAAAAACTGAATATACTGAAAACTACAATACTCGATCCGTGCGAAATACACATTTAGGGTTGTAAATATTAATACATTCAGATCAAACACAAGACTTTACAGATTCAGCCATGTGTCAGATTAAAAGAAAATGTGCAAGAATGCATTTACAAAAGAATGTTGACGTCATTATCCTCTTGTATTTTAAGACATATTTATCTTTAATGATTGCATGAATCTGTGTTGGAGTGCATCTCTCATCACTATTCTACTTGGACATCTATGAGAAATATAAAGTTTCCCTTGAAGACAAGATCATAAGAGAAGATTAGAGAAACTCCAGCAGCAGTTTTTCTCTGTTTATGAATTTTTATGTCCACTTTTTGCCACTTGTCAGAAGATGCACATCCGAAACTACTTTAAAGACCTGGCTCTGTTTCCATTGAGTGCCCTATTTTAAAATGATTTGAAAGAATAGATGACATCTTGTATTCAAAACAACTGCAGTGCAGTTTGGGCTGGTTGTTGGTGACGTTACCGAGATACTTTCTGAAGCATGTATCTTGTTTTAGGCTAATGACGTTCTTGATGACATCTGATTTTCGTTGTCCGTCGATACCACAAAGGATAATCTCCACATATTAACACCACTATGATTTTTGAAGTAAAAAGCTAATGTTGGGCTATGAAGAAACTACAGCACGGTCACATGACTTCACGTCACCACCGCTAAGCTAAAGGAGGCTAATGTTGGGCTATAAAGGAACTACAGCACGGTCACATGACTTCACGTCAACACCGCTAAGCTAAAGGTGGCTAATGTCGGGCTATAAAGGAACTACAGCACGGTCACATGACTTCACGTCAACACCGCTAAGCTAAAGGTGGCTAATGTCGGGCTATAAAGGAACTACAGCACGGTCACATGACTTCACGTCAACACCGTTAAGCTAAAGGTGGCTAATATCGGGCTATAAAGGAACTACAGCACGGTCACATGACTTCACGTCACCACCGCTAAGCTAAAGGAGGCTAATATTGGGCTAATGTTAGTCGTCTCATTTAGAGACTTGTTAACAACCTCCGTTGTTAAATCCTCCAGGGGGGTATTTACTGACATATTTTATGTCGTAGAACAAAACGTTAAAATCTTTTCAGCTTGTGTTAACCACAGACCAGACCTTCTTACCGGCTAGCAACCAAAAACACATTCAGAAAACCATTGATTTTCAGTCGAAGTAACAGGAAGTGCTTAAAAAGCAGATAGTTAACTTAAGCTAGTTAGCTTGTTAAGTGGATAACTAAAGTTAGCTAGATGGATGGATGGATGGATGGATGGATAGATAGATAGATAGATAGATAGATAGATAGATAGATAGATAGATAGATAGATAGATAGATAGATAGATAACATGGAAATGTTATTTAATTATTTTTGTTCACAGTTATTCCCAAGTATTTTCTCATCCAGAATTCAGTGCATCAAAGACCACATTGTCGAGAGGTCAAATCTGTTTTGCAATCATTAAACATCCGGGGGTTTTGCGTCCACATAAAACGATAAAGAAATAATCCCTTTTGAGAAACCAATTAGCTGAAAAGCTTAATTTTACTTGAGCATCTCTTCTCATGTTTTTGAGAGTCCTCTTCAGTGAGAGGCCAGCAGCTCCATCATCAGTCATGCTGCATCACGTTATGGTGTAACCGCTATAAGAGGCATATCACATATTAGTGGATTACGAAGCAATGATTACAGTCTGCTGCTATAATCTCTCATCGCTGCGGTTCACACAGCTAATTCCTGCCTAATCGAGTCGTGTGCCTTTCACGTCTGAGGCCACATTATACTGTGTGGGAGCTAAAGCAGTCTTCAACCTACTTTTAAACAACAGTGTTATCCACACCTCTTTTTTCATGTTGACTTTCTCTGGAAACTTGGAGAAGAAAAGGATTAAAAAGCACTACTTTTTGACGGTGAAACTTTTCTCAAAAAGGATGTTTTTAAGTCTTAGACAAAGGCATATTTTCATAGGCGTCATGTATGCTGGGGACGATGAGACCACCACTCTTTAAAAGTATAACGTTTTTGAGTTGAGAAAGAAGGACAGAAGATGTCATGATCTGTCTCAGTGTTTCCTGTTTTATTTTGAACGTTGTTCACCCCATTTCTACTTCCTGTCACTCTGTTTTCCCGCCTTTTTTAAGATCTGATTCTTATCACCTAGTGTCCTCTACTGCTGTATCATTTCCATGTTATCATCTCTGCTTGATTTGAATCCATGTTTGTCTGTTAGCGTTTGTCAGATCCTTTTATGTCCTTTATTTTGAACATGAGTTGCTTGCCCTGCCTGGATGACCTGCTATTAACGATATTTTCTGAGTCCTTCATTTGCCTCCATCTTGCTCAACTTTCCGTGAGGCACAATATTAGCCGGCTTTAATTCACACACATTATAAAAGCCAATTAAAGCTCCACGGTGTAGAAAAGATTGGGACTATCTGGAGGGGATAATTATATTCATCATGGATTTCACAAAGCTTTAATGTTTCTCTCGTCTCCTCCTCTCCAGACCATTGTGTCCAAGTACGGCTCACAGTTTCGTGGAAATTCCCAACACGACGCGCTGGAGTTCCTGCTGTGGCTTCTGGACCGCGTGCACGAAGACGTCAACTTGGCCGCCCACAACAACAACAACAAGAGCAAAGCTCCCGGAAAGGTAAGAATCAAGACCGCTCTGTGTCCTTGTTAGAGGTGGGAAGTAGTGGAGTACAATACTTCGTTACTGTACTTAAGTACATTTTTCTGTAATCAGTACTTTACTCCACTACTTATTTTTCTGACGACTTTTTACTTTTACTTCTTACATTTTGAAACCAAATACCTGTACTTTCTACTTCTTACATGTTGAACTCAAATACTTGTACTTTCTACTTCTTACATGTTGAACTCAAATACCTGTACTTTCTACTTCGTACATGTTGAACACAAATACTTGTACTTTCTACTTCGTACATGTTGAACACAAATATCTGTACTTTCTACTTCTTACATGTTGAACTCAAATACCTGTACTTTCTACTTCTTACAAGTTGAACACAAATACCTGTACTTTCTACTTCTTACAAGTTGAACACAAATATCTGTACTTTCTACTTCTTACATGTTGAACTCAAATACCTGTACTTTCTACTTCTTACATGTTGAACACAAATACCTGTACTTTCTACTTCGTACATGTTGAACACAAATACTTGTACTTTCTACTTCGTACATGTTGAACACAAATACCTGTACTTTCTACTTCTTACATGTTGAACTCAAATACCTGTACTTTCTACTTCTTACATGTTGAACACAAATACCTGTACTTTCTACTTCTTACATGTTGAACACAAATACCTGTACTTTCTACTTCTTACATGTTGAACACAAATACCTGTACTTTCTACTTCTTACATGTTGAACTCAAATACCTGTACTTTCTACTTCTCACATGTTGAACTCAAATACCTGTACTTTCTACTTCTCACATGTTGAACACAAATACCTGTACTTTCTACTTCTTACATGTTGAACTCAAATACCTGTACTTTCTACTTCTCTCATTTTCCAAACAGCTGGTTCCTTTAGTCTGAATGTGTGTTTGGTGCGTGATCATTATTCTTTAGAGTCATTGCGTGCCTATTGATTTGAACACGATCCGTGTATCCATCATTTCCTGGTCTTCTCTAAAGAAGAGGGACCAATGGAAACGTTGTCATGTTGCCGTTGTTCAGCATGGAAACATTCATTAGCTAACAATGACATTATTGTTCTATTAATATAAAGGGAGGTCAGGTACTCTTTAAAGCAGCTGCTAGTTATGGGTACTTTTTACTGAAGTACATTTCAAAGCCTCTTTACTTTGACTTGAGTAAAGAAGTTTAGTCAGTACTTCTACTTTTACTAGAGTATTTTTAAACACGAGTATCTGTACTTCTACTTGAGTAAAGGATATGTGTACTTTTACCCTCTCTGGTCCTTGTAGTAAAAGATAACATGATGGTTCCTCATTGGACAGGAAACATGTCACCCCTTTATTATAAAAGTGCACACTGCACGCTTAATTGACGCATAACTAATGAATGAATTAATGCATTATATATCACAGACTCCTGTGGCGTGGTATATAGTGAAGCAAATATATTATCTTAACTTCAATGGATCGTTATTCTATGACTGATAACTAAAACTTACGACACACTTTTAAATTACCATGAAAATATATTTTATTTATACTTTTAAACTGGTTCTTCAGTGGAGTCACTCAGTTGCATTGTAAAGGTTTTCAGATGTTTTTCTCCCCCATATCACTAATCATTTCCATATAGAGTGGTTCAGGAATGAGTCCTTAAATCTGGAAATGATATCTATCTATCAAATTAGCTAGCTAACTCACAGCTGCCAAGCTTAGTGAGAAGTATTAGCCTTCAGTGTGTTTCATTTGAACCTAGAGTGGTGCAGGGATGAGTCCTCAAACCCAGACATTAGTCGGCATTTCATCACTTCCTGTCTCCCTGTCAATGGTTTCTGAATGTGTTTTTGTTTGTTAGCCTGAAATAAGCGTCCAAGAGTTGTTTGCAAGCGCTGCAACTCCTCAAATTAAACTTTGAACTGCTCTACTGTGAGCCATTAAAGCAGAATTATCATATATTATTGAAATCACGTTCTTACTTTTGAAAGAGTGATCCCTTCTCTTTTCTTAGCAGTGTTATAGCAGGGTGAAAACCAGTGGTATAATTCATTAGAAACACTACGCTTGCTGCTGGTGAATCATTGCAACCTCAGTGTTTCCCGACGCAGTGACTGCAGAGAGTTATTCTGTTGTTTCATCATTATATCAGGAGATATCCAGATCAGGATACACTCCCAAGGCTATACATTGAGTAATACTATATATAACACCTCCTTTCGTATGAAATTGTCAGACATGCAACCTTGTCTTGTACTGACTTGTGTATCATATTCATTTATTTATTTATTTCTTCTATTGTATCCCAACACACTGACCTTGTATACAAAAAAGCGTTGAAAAAGGCTTTCTGAAGGGAACAGGAATGCAATGTCAGCAAAGCATATCGATATAAAGCCAAGGTCATATTGAAAGTCGCAGTCTTTTGGAGAAAGCTGAGCTCCTTTCCTCTGGCATTTGCCCTATTTTTCAAATGCAGATGATACTCATCCCTCTCATTAGCATGTGAGGAAGTGAGGCAGTGAGACAAATTGAATAGGGATCGAGAGAGCTTCCTACCTAGTTAGCATTACAAGGGCTCCATCGACAAAATCTAAGGGGATTTCGGATTTTTGCACAAAATAAGCATTGTGGTACAGCAGGATACTCTCCACATATTAAAACACCACCTTGAGTTTTTGGAAGTGTAAATGCAATTGGCAAAATTATCAATGTCCCATAGCTGCGCGTCACCACCGCTAAGCTAAAGGTGGCTAATGTTGGGCTATAAAGGAACTACAGCACGGTCACATGACTTCACGTCACCACCGCTAAGCTAAAGGCGGCTAATGTTGGGCTATAAAGGAACTACAGCACGGTCACATGACTTCAGGTCACCACCGCTAAGCTAAAGGCGGCTAATGTTGGGCTATAAAGGAACTACAGCACGGTCACATGACTTCACGTCTCCACCGCTAAGCTAAAGGTGGCTAATGTTGGGCTATAAAGGAACTACAGCAAGGTCACATGACTTCACGTCACCACCGCTAAGCTAAAGGCGGCTAATGTTGGGCTATAAAGGAACTACAGCACGGTCACATGACTTCACGTCACCACCGCTAAGCTAAAGGCGGCTAATGTTGGGCTATAAAGGAACTACAGCACGGTCACATGACTTCACGTCTCCACCGCTAAGCTAAAGGTGGCTAATGTTGGGCTATAAAGGAACTACAGCAAGGTCACATGACTTCACGTCACCACCGCTAAGCTAAAGGCGGCTAATGTTGGGCTATAAAGGAACTACAGCACGGTCACATGACTTCACGTCTCCACCGCTAAGCTAAAGGCGGCTAATGTTGGACGTGATTACGTTTAGTCGTCTCATTTACACACTTGTTAGCAAGACACTTGTTTCCTATGTTTCTGTTATTCATACTTACAGAATACTCTTATCCCTTTAGCTGTGCTTGTGAGCACTGCAGGCGAAGTTGCCCTTTTAGTTCAGGATAAAAGTGAGGTGTGACGTTGGGGGGTCTGGAAAGTCTCAATGGATCTGCAGAGGACATGAAGGGTTAGGACTGTAAAGCTGCTGATAAGGTCTTCCATGATGAGTCTGCGGCACCCTGACGAAAAGGTCGCTGCACCTTGTTAACACCCAACGAGCCGCTGAGGTGTGGAGGACATAAACCTTTAAAAGAAAAAATGGACTTAACCCCAGGTCCTGCTATGTGAGGGTGTCAGCGCTACTAAGGCTTTGATAGTCTGCTTTGGTGACTATATGTTGCACTTCATGATGTAGCTTCATCTTACTGTCAATTCTGACATGCACTGGATCTCTTTGTAGCATGGTGGCAAATGCATGGTTTATATTTTCAAAAAAAAACCTCAAAATAATAATCTTTCTGGAGAAAAGTGGGAGCTGAGCCAGAAGGCAAAGCTCTCTGTCTACCGGGCCATTTTCGTTCCTACCCTCACCTATGGTCATGAAGGATGGGTCATGACCGAAAGAACGAGATCGCGGATACAAGCGGCCGAGATGGGTTTTCTCCGCAGGGTGGCTGGTGTCTCCCTTAGGGATAAGGTGAGAAGTTCGGTCATCAGGGAGGGACTCGGAGTTGAGCCGCTCCTCCTTCGCGTCGAAAGGAGCCAGTTGAGGTGGTTCGGGCACCTAGTTAGGATGCCACCTGGGCGCCTCCCTAGGGAGGTGTTCCAGGCACGTCCAGCTGGGAAGAGACCGAGGGGTAGACCTAGGACCAGGTGGAGGGATTATATCTCTTCGCTGGCCTGGGAGCGCCTTGGGATCCCCCAGTCAGAGCTGGTTGATGTCGCCAGGGAAAAGAAAGTTTGGGGCTCTCTGCTGGAACTGCTACCCCCGCGACCCGACCACGGATAAGCGGAAGAAGATGGATGGAGAAAAGTGGAAAGAATTATAAGGTTGAACGTCAGTTACATGCATTGGCTGTAGCAATGGAAAATGCAGAGCAAAACTCTGAATGAATCATCTGTCTTTGTTACAATATTCCTTGCACACATAAGCAAAGGGTTGTAACCAAAAATAAGATTGCTGAAACAAGTAGTTTCTCAAAGTCTGTCATCTTTGTGAAGGTTTGCCGCCAACTGAATCTTTCTTACCTCGTCCGTAAAAAGATGGAGGTGTCAGTCGCTGTACTTGATAAAAGTTATTTCAAGAAAGTAAAAAAAAACCTTGTTTATTGACGAAAAAGTTGTATTTTTTTGTTTAAAAAGACTATAAATCTTGTCAAGCATGTTGAGTAATCTTACTCTAACAAAATGTATCTTATTTTGTATTATTAAAATATTCTTCTCCCTAAATGTAGCTAGATTTTACAAGCTACAACAATGGTTTGCACAAATCCGCGTCAGATAAAAGATTTTTTTTTTTTTATTAACCACTTGCACAACTTCTCAGTTTAAGAAATGTTATGAAACGTTACCAATTTAAAGTTTATTTAAATGTTTAAATGAGAGCTTCCTCTTTACATATC